TCTGATCTCCGACTGCGAAGTGACTAACAGGTGGGCAGGTATACAGCGTGGAGACCCGGGACGAAGAGATGAATCACATCCCGAGCAGGACAGGGCAGGATGGTGTGAGATTTCATTAGGCTACTTAGAAGGGCATGCAACTGAAAATTTACGTACTACTTACTTCTGGAATTTTCCATTTAGAATTTTCAGACAAGATCTGACCGCAGGTAACTGAAACTGCAGATAAGAGTGAACTATGGTTGGTTAATATAAAAATCTATGAACCTGTCACCTTGTGGTGAGTTTCCCACTACAAGGAAAGCAAAACTTTTATTGTACCTGTTATCTGCGGAATCATCAGCACACAGGAACGGTTGATTCAAAGTGAAATCTCTATAAAGGAGTTCCCTCCTCCAGCCACTCACAAAAACCCTGGCTGTGTAGCGCTCTCTCAACCCTTATCTAGCAAGTTCACAAAAATATACTCTAACATTTAACACAAGAAATCAATCATTTCAAAAGAGAATCAACTCTAGGTCCTTTAGAACAACAGCAATCGACAATGTTCTTATTGAACACTAGCAGCATAAAAATGCCGTAAGGGCTGGGCGCGGCGGCTCATGCCTGTCATCCCAGCACTGTGGGAGGCCGAGGAGGGCAGGTCATCTAAGGTCGGGAGTTCGAGACCAGCCTGACCAGCATGGAGAAACCCTGTCTCTACTAAAAATACAAAATTCGCCATGTGTGGTGGCGCACGCCTGTAATCCCAGCTACTCAGGAGGCTGAGGCAGGAGGACTGCTTGAGCCCAGGAGGTTGGGGCTGCACTGAGCCAAGATTTTGCCACTGCCCTCCAGCCTGGGCCACAGAGCAAAACCCTGTCTCTAAATCTAAATATATATACACATATACATTTTTTATATATAGAAGATAAAAATAAACCAGCATAGATAACTTTGGATAGAATTTCTAAAGTCTTGGACTTTATAGGAGACTTAAGAAATATCAGTGACTTTGTTCCTTAATTGAAAGCAGGGAACATGAAAATCAGAATCCATTCCCCGCAGGAATCCACCTTATCTGCTAAGGAAAACAGCTGTTGAACTATCCCAGCTTGAAGGGAGGACAACTTTCTAACTAAAGCTCTGTTTTGCAAGCTCCTCCCTATTTTTCAACGTGCCAGAGCTCAAGAATTTAGCTGTGGGGAATTCTCTGACTCGCACCATCCACTCACTCCCATGGCCGTGCAGTTCTTCCGTGGGATTTTTGATTTCTGAAGAGTAAAGTACTCGAGAGCCCATCATCTAGGCTGCTGTAGTGCTCCAGGACATGCAGGCGCTGTGTATGAGTCCCCAGGGCTATCATAACAAAGTACCACAAACCGGAATGGGGGGACAGGCAAGAGACGTGTATTCTCAGTCCAGGTGCCGTGGCTGACTCCTGCAATCCCAGCACTGTGGGAGGCTGAGGCGGGAGGATTGCTTCAGGCCAGGAGTTTGAGACCAGCCTGGGCAATACAGCAAGACCTCATCCCTACAAAAATTTTTCAAAGTTAGCCAGGCATGGTGGCATATACCTGTAGTCTCAGCTAGTTGGGAGGCTGAGGCAGGAAGATTGCTTGAACTCAGGTGGTAGACACTGCAGTGAGCCATGATTGTGCCACTGAACTCCAGCCTGGGCAACAGAGTGAGACCCTGTTAAGAAAGAGGGAGGGAGGGAGAGAAGGGGGATGACAGAGAAAGAGAGAGAAAGAAAGAGAAGAAGGAAGGAAGGAAGGAAGGAAGGAAGGAAGGGAGGGAGGGAGGGAGGGAGGGAGGGAGGGGAAAGAAGGAAGAAAAAGAAAGAAAGGAGAAAGAAAGAGAAAGAAAGAAAGAAAAAGAATGGAAGGAAGGAAAGAGAGAGAGAGAGGGAGGGAGGGAAGGAAAGAAAAAGAATAGAAAAGAGAAACAAAAAATAGTGAAACCCGTCTCCACTAAAAATACAAAAGTGAGCTGGGCATGGTGGCAAATGCCTGTAGTCCCAGCTACTCGGGTGGCTAACGCAGGAGAATCTCTTGAACCTGGGAGGCAGAGGCTGCAGTGAGCCAAGATCCTGCCACTGCACTCCAGCCTAGGGCAACAGGGCAAGGCTCTGTCTCAAAAAGAGAGAGAGAAAAAAAAAGAAATGTATTCTCCCACGATTTTGGAGCCCGAAATCCAAAGTTCAGCCTGACGGTGTTGCCGGGATTTGTTCTGCAGGTTCTGATGGAGAATCTGCCCCGGACTCTCTCCCAGGTTCTGGGAGTAGCTGGCAATCCTTGGGGTCCCCTGGCTTAGAGATGCACCATTCCTCCAACCTCTGCCTCTATCCTCACGAGGTGTCCTCCTCGTGGTGCTCTGCTGTCTCTGTATCTGCGTCTCCTTCCTTTTCTCATAGACACCAGTCATACAAAGTTAAAAGCACACCGTATTGGGAGGCCGAGGCAGGCAGACACTAGGTCAGGAGACCAGCATGGC